TTCTTATTTCACTTGCAATCAAACACTAAAACAAAAATATAAGCACTGCTATGGTATTCCTTACAAGTTAAATGCATCAAATTTAATAAGTGGTCAAAACTGGTTCTTGAATTACAAAAAATAACAGTGGTAGAAGTTATAAGGAGTTGTAACTTTAAACCATTAATGTTAAATCAATGCATTTTTCACCATCTGTGTGGATAACATTAACCCCTGTCAAGTCCACTCTTAATCCAATTAGGTGCATAAAGACTGTAAACCACATTTAGTTATAGGAGTTGAGAACATTTCAGATGCTTTCTAGAGTAGTCTTTTAAATTTATTAGAAGCCGTGTGGCTTTCACCAGACTGAGGTTACAAAGCGTACAGTAATTAAGTAAGTAATAAAACATGAAGCGGTCTAGAGGATAGTTTAACTATAAAACATATAGTGCTCTCGTTTTTAAGGACTGCGTAACGAGCCATGCAGTTTCTAAAATGGTTTAGGTTAATGATAGGGGCCCAGAAACATCATTCAAATGTTATTAAGGGATACACACAAGTAAACATTCAAAGAGTAAAATAAATTTATACACATAAACATCTTAAATTTGATCCATTAGACCCAGCACTCTTGGAACAAACTCCCTCCTGCACTTACAGGAATAAATGGCTGTATGTGCTCTACTGAACGTAAAGAGCATTTCGAGAATCTACGTGTTTAACCAGTGGCGGCCGGCCCATAGGGGGCGCTGGGGCACCGCCCTCCCTGATAAGAAGAGAGAAACGTAAAATATATTTTTACAAATTAACTCATAAATGTCAGTTTTACTCTCTAGAGTGTTTACCTATAAGCAAAACAAATTATATAAACTACATTTCCCTACCTACTGTCATTCATTTGTGGATTTGCACAGACAGACTCCTACCGTCTCTGTCTTGGGGCGCTGATCAGACTGCCCCAATAAAGGACTTGCTCTCTTATTACTATGTTATTACATGGTTATTGATGTATTGTAAAATTAAGGGTAACCTAAAATTTTTGCTCTTGAGTTAACTATTGATAGAGATTTCCCTTTATAGTGTTTATTTAATTTCTACTCTTAGACTGTCTTGATGGATTTTTCTAAATACATTTTAGGATATATTATAATCTATGTTCTGGGTGTTTTTTTTTTATACACAAATATGTGCAAATCCACTCTAAGAATTTAATTATTAAATAAGAGACTGCACCTCTATTCGAACACCTCCTTAGTATTTCCTTAATGAGCCGTTAATTTAAAAAAACGTCTAATCCTTGGTGATACCTTTGTATGAACTACTAGTGAACACTTCATTTTAATTGGGGGACAATATATAATTAGGGGCAATAATGTGTTTTTTTCTGTATTTTCTCTTAATTTTTTTTTCTTTTACAGAAGGAGGGAACGCTTAACTGATGTTTAGGTAAGTTTATGGTTAACAAGGGTTATTTAAATCCATGTTTTTTCTCATCATATGCTCTGAATCTACAAGATTATTTGTTTAGGGATTGCACATTAATTGGCAGGTTTAGGCATACAAAGAACTTGGTATGGATAAGAAATTTTTCAATTTAATTAAACTATGAATAACAGTTTCTTGATTGGGTCTCATACGCATCTACTACTGTTTCATGATGCGAAGGTGTTTTTTTCCCCTCTTTCCTCCATATAGCATTATTGCCGGACCCATCTTGGTACGAGCATCTTCATGCATGTTTGTTTTGTCACTTTAAAGGGTCTATATCATGCAAAAATCAACTTTTTTCATGTTATAATGCTATTGCCAAAGTGTTATTGCGCTTGATTCATGTAGTACAGAGTAATCATTAATTCTCTGTCCTGGAAAACGAGTGGCCATTTTATTTAGGACAGTGATTACCCGTCCGATAAGCAACGTATGTAATGACCGAAGCTGCTACCCAACAATCAGCAGACAAAACAGGACGGTTTGAATCAAGTTTTTTATTTAATAAAACAGACAGAGAGCAAGAGAACGTCTTCAGTGTTAGTTATCGGATTCTCTGCAGAGACAGTAAAGTCAGGTCAGTGACAAGAATGTCGAGCTGATAACGACTAGGAGAAAAAGTCACTGATCTGGTTGAGAGTTCAGTCCGATTCAGAGAGAGAGGAACGCGGGGGGAGATTGTACGCCGCTTGAGAGCACAGGGCGCAGCGGAGCTGGAGCCAGCCAATGCCGAGCAAGCAACAGTTTCCGTCAGGGATAAACCAAAGCCTAAGAACATTCCAAACATTTTCACAGATCATAGGATCAGAGGTATCCAAGGAGAATCCAAGCGGAGGTCAGTAACCTAGCAGAATCTAGGAAGTCAGACCTGAACAGAGCAGATAGGGAAAATGCAAACCCGAAAATCCAGAGACAGAAAACGGGTCTGAATCAAAAAGACTTACTTGATGGCTAACATGAATCTCACCGAAACAGCTAGAATAGTCTGGCACTGATGGCATGCAAGCAAAGAGCAGAAATAGCCAATTAGACAGGTGAGCAGGGGCAGGTGAAAAAAGCCAAACATCAGCCCCAGGGCTAGGACAACGTACCCATGGAGGGATGTTTTTAAGGCACAGCGTGATCACTTCAGCTTAATGTTGAGATTAAGTGTCTCTTTTAGCAGTTAATCTGCAAAGTGACAGCAGCCGTTCTTTCAGCTACCGTTTAAGCTGTAAATATGTGGTTTTTGGTTGCGAGAGGTCTTGCGAGAGAGCCAGAAGTGACATAATAGCACGCTACAGCAACTTTAGAGCTACAGAATAAAACAGGGAGAGGTGGCGTTGCAGTTAAGCAATTAACTTTCGGAAAACTGCACCAGAAAGCAACTAACATTTATGACAAATTAAAATCCTACTCCTTATTGCCAAAAGCAGTATTTGATCTATGTATTTTATATATGCCTATAGTTATAGCGTGATATAGAACCTTTAAATGCAACTTGTGGCTTTTCATTGAACAATAGATTCATTCTTGACCTTTTCTAAAAAGGCCAGATTGGTTAATGGCACCTTAAATGAAATAGTAGTCCTGAACACACCCATGTTCAGTGAGTTAGAGTTTTTTTCTTTCTTTTTCTAAACTATTCTTGCTTTAAAATTCACCAAAGGTTTATCTGAGACCTTTCTGTCACTTTGTCTTCATGCCAATGTTATTAATGTATTTTAACTAATGAGAGATGCTTTGAGAGAGTACCTGTATTTATTCTCAGATTAACCAACAAAAAGTAATGCTGTATTTCCCAATTTCCATTTATTATTTCAGATACTTCAGTAAACAGGTTCCATAATCAGTCAAACACTTCCTGCTCCCTCTCATGTCCTGCAGGTTCCCTGTTCCGAGCGTCATTTCCTATGAAGCACCAGTCATTCGGTAATGTATTCAAAGAGAGCGGACCGATTCAAGGATCAAGTGGAACTCTATGGAAGCATTCGGCCTTCCTTTTCACCAATGTAACCTACCTTTGAAGTTCATCCATTCTGTCCAAAGCCCTCAATCGTTGTTTCCAGCACTTAGATGGATCCCAGGACACCGTTTCCGACTTAGATCTAAGGAGCCAACCCTTGTACAGCAATGCACAGACCATGGCGAGGGCAGTGACTGTTACTCTGGGAAGAAGACGGTATACGTACGGAGTATCTATTTATCTAACGACCTGAGAACCATTGACATTTACACTTTCAGCGCAACCACAAATCATCCAACAACATTCAGAAACCTACACAAGCAGTACATTCAGAAAAAAGACTTAAATATTATTGTGTAATTACAAGTATTAACCTATGTTAACACCAAAATGTGTGTGTCACCGTCAGAATGGGTATCATGTTTTATTTGTTAAAAGTAGAAAAAAAAATATATCAGCTTAATCTGTAGTGTTAAGATTAAACAATGTTAAGGTTTATTTTTCATCTCTGGCTCATAGGATACTTTCTTTTCCCTGAAAATAATATTTAAAACCATTTTCCATTAATATTATACTACAGAGACAACTAGAATAACAAAGTGTGTATAGAGAATATTTCAAAGTGATCTATGAGGATTTTAACGAAACCCATTCAACATCCTATTTACTACCCAACTTTGCACAGTGCTCAAGTTTTAAAAAAAGAATTCATATTTTGTAGCTGATGTATCTACACTGTGATGGTGGCTATCAGAACTGCCAGCTGCAAGACTCTTAGCCGCTACATGAGTCTGACTCTGTATGTTAGTGTGTTTTGGTATTAGCATGCACACACACATCATTGCTGTAATGCTACGTTCAGACCGCAGGCAGCAGGAGCAGCAAAAAGGCGCGTGCTGCTTCATTTTTGATGCTTGTACAAGTTTAGTTCTGACGCGCTTCTGAAGCATCTTTGCTGCTTTAGCTGCACTGTTGAAAAGTGGATCTGATTTGCGTTTGGCGGAGCTACTCTATCCTCTCTTTGCCTGTAACAATGGCAGCTATATATGCTGTTATCAATAGGTGAAAAGTAGTTTTAATGTTTTTAAGTGAGAAAGTCCACATTAAAACTTCATCTGTGCAGTCAGTTCATCCAGATTACCATCCTGCCTTCAAATATTATTTCTCTGTTGGAGCCGCTCAGACCCCCGTACAACGGCAGTGCGCTGTCACTGGGAATCCTGTTTAACAGCAGCCTCTGGCTCTGTCACCCCTTAGCGGTTTGCCGCTACTGTTCCCGGCGGCTGGAAGTAGATGTTAGCATTTTTCACGTACGTAATCCAGGATAATAAAAGTGAACATATTTTGCAGTTTCGACATTTTAAGTTAATTTAGATGTAGATAAACTGTTTCAGAGGAGTGATCATAGCGCTCTGCATCAGCAGTGCTGTGTCTGACTCCCTGCCAGCTCCCAGATCAGCTTCTCTGATTGGTTGATGTGGTGCGTCCAGTAGCAAAAGTTCATTTTTTAGATCTCCAGCAGCTGCTGCTTCTAAAGCGCGTCAAGCGCGTCAGATGCTCAGAAGCTCATGCGGCCAATTTATGCTTTTTACGCATAGCCACTGCAACCGTCAAATCTGTCTTTGTGTGCGACCATGACCCTGCGCAGAGGTTCTGCAACCGTCGCCATGCACCTTAAAAAAGTCCTGACTGTGCGTCGGACGGTCACAAACCCACGCAGACCTCAAGCGGAAGTACGCAGACAAAAAGCAGCTGTGATTGGTCCTTAGTACGCCTTTCCGGCTGTCGGTGTGGTCGTCCTTCTCAATTCGGTGCCGGGGCTCGCCATTTTTAAAAACAGAGGAACAACTACAATGGACAACCTATGAGTCCTCCTTTATCTTTTTGCCAACTCTATTAACAGAACCTGTTCCTCTTTGATGTCTAGCAACTCTAGATCCATCTCCGTGACTGTGATATCTTGCATATGTGCCATTGTTGTTTCGGAAACTCCTGCAGGCGCCGCCGAAGTCCTAATGGCCATCCGTCAAAGTTCTCGCAAGTTCTCCAATAGGCCCCCCCCTAGCACTTTGGCGGGAAATTGCTGTGCATCCCTTGAAATTCCAGACGGACATTGCAGAAACATACCAGCAAAACTGGTTCGCAACCAGACCCAAGCGACATTTGATGTGTACAGTTGCAACCATTGACTTTGCATCTAAACTAGCTGCGTCTGCTGACTTTGCTGCTTGCGGTCTGGACGTAGCATTAGTGTTGTGAGTGTAATAGTTTACCAACTTCACACACAGCTGTCCTCTTGTGTATCTTATATCTGTCTTTGTCTTTAGGTGGGTCTTTCTTTGATGGCCTTGCTCTCTTTGTTTCTTTGGGACGTACAGGGTACCGCAATGGAGCAACAGGCGTGTCTCACATCCAATTCCAAGTTGAGATGAACATTTAAAGCCTGTCCCATTCTCAATCCTGCATATGTTACTGTGTAAATAGATATTCTGCAGATAATAAGTCACTAATTTAGAGCAACTAAAGAGATTCCTTTAAGAATATAAACACTTAATAAAGGTTTTCACTGTAAGTGTTGTTTTTTTTTTTTATGCTTTTGTCGACTACGAAAGAGATAATTTACTGGCTTTGGTAATTATGACATTGTAGTGTCATAAACATGTGTGGTAACCAATGCTAAAAGGTATGGGAGGAGGACTTTCTCAAATATTTCAAAAGACCCGCCCTTTCCGTTACGTACTAATATATTACTTGCAATTTTTACATGCGGTACGTTTAATACTTATGATAATAAATGACCAAAGAACCCTTTTGTTAGAAAAATGTAAATGTCTGTAACGTACAGGAAATTGGACCCAGAAAACAACTCAGACAGGTCAGTGGAATGCAACAGATTTTATTTATGTGTGGCACCGGGAGCGTGCAGGCTGCTCTTAGTCAGGAAATCCCCTGTGGCGGAGACAACAGGTTAGTGATCAGCAATAGGAGAACTAGAGAGGGAGTGAGGCTGGATCAATAACCTGTTACTGGGTCTCAGAGTGGGCGATTGGCTCCGTGTAGGTCCGGGGCAGGAGTCCATAAGAGGAAGGGGCTTGTGGAAGCAGTGGCCGTTGAGC